AAGGCCCAGTCCCCAGCTCGCCCCTGGGGCTTGGTGTGGGTCCCCGATGCCAACCCCAGGGCAGACCCTGCGGAGCTGGCCCTCACTGCCCCACTGCCCTCGCTGGGGCTCAGCGCCACACCCTGATAGCCGTCCCCTGCTGACCCGAGGCCCGAGGAGGGCGCCCTGTCTCCTTCCAGCCAACCCCCGAATTTGGATCATAAAATGCCCCAAAGAGGCACCAGAACTGGCAGGAGACAAGCTTGCCCTGGGCGCAGGCCCACGGGCGCCGCAGCCGCAGCCGCCTTCGGGGAGCAGCGCCTTCGGGGAGCAGCGCCTTCGGGGAGCACCCCCGGAGCAGTCTGGAGCAGACGGGTGGCCTGGGGGGCTCTGCTGCCCAGGACCAGGGCTCAGAGAGGGGGTGGGCGGGGTGAACCCCGGGGCTGGGTCCCCCTCCCCGCCAGCCCCCAGGCGGCGCCCGGGAGGCCAAGCTCCCCCACAGCCGGCCCGAGGCGGAGCCTGCTGCCGCCCAGTGGTCAGTGCTGCCGCTGCGGCCGGGCAGGGTCCCCCCACCGCGCTGCTTCTGCCGGCCCAGCGACGCTTTTCCTCTAGGGGTCGCTCGTGCACCCCGGAGAGGACGACTGCAAGCCAAAAGCCCAGTTGTCGCCTCGCGCCTGGCCTCCCGGCCCGCGGACAGGCCCTTCCGCCTCGGGGCGCCCTGCCTGGGAGAGGGGTGACCCGAAAACGGGGCTCTGGCGCAGGCGCGAGTTGAAAGCACGCCCAGGAGGGCCCTTTGCAGGCTCGTGAGGACAGGCTGCGCCTGCTTCTCTACTGCGGTTGGTGACGGGCGCTCTGGCGCGGGAAACGCGGGCGTGGAGCAGAACCTTTGGGGCAGGGCGTCCCGGACTTGTCGGAAATAGTGCCCCATCTCTTGCCAACGGCCACCCGGCCCCACACTGCCGCAACCCCGTCGGCCAGGCCAGGGCCTTTAGGAAATGGGGGCGCAGGCGGGCAGCCCCGGACAGAGACCCCCCTCCGCCCACTCCCACCACCTGCTTTCAGGCCAGGGATTTCGGCCGTTTGGGTTTCCTGTGGCGTATCCGTGGCCCGGCTCTTGTGGGCTTTGTGACCCTGTGACTAGGGCTCCAGGCCCTGGCAGTGGAGACAACGTGGACTACAGAGGCGGGAGTGGAGCGGGGCCTGCCCTGCCCCCTCCTTGGGTGGGCAAAATCTTCAGCGATAAACTCCCCAGTGATAACAGGGAGGTGAGTTCAGATAGGACAGCCGGGCGTGGGGCGGGCCTGGGCCCCCACGGAGCTGGGGGTGCAGCAGGCCTCTGGCTATTTATTTAGTGACAGTGAGTGAGGTGATTGATTACTCGACAGTGCGACGGTTCCAGGGTGTTCACCTTAGGGAAACGGACCTCAAAGGCAGCGGACACATGGGGAGCAGCAGGATGCAGGCCAGGAGCAGGGAGAACTCTCCGCCCACAGGCGCCTCAAGTAACTCCCGAGCTACTCCCAGCCCGCCCACCCCGGCCACGCAGTCAGTCGCGGCCCCCGTGTCGGGCCACCTCGCGCTGTGGCCGTGTCCAGACAGCCGCACGTGAGCGCCTCAGCCTGCACGCACAGGTGCGAGCCCCTGTGGGACGAGGCCTCGACACTCAGGGAGCGCTGGGGTCAGCGTCTGCTTACCTCCCCACTCCCCCGTGGCTCAGACATTCCACTGTGCGGTGTGTGCTCGAGGGCCGGAAACGGGGCCCCCCGCAAGCCCGGGGACGTGACAGCACCATCGTCCCCGACGGCCTGGAGACCCCGGATGTGCGCCCAGGGGCGGGGTCACGTACCCGCGTGTGGAGTATTATGTACCAGGGAAAGGAGTGGCATGCCGGTCTGCAACCCGACGGGTCTCGCAGACACGCTGGGTGAAAGGCTCGGACCCAAAGCCCATCACCTCGGCTCTGCTGCCGTGGAGAATTCCGAACAGACAAATCCGTGGCTGACGGCTACCCCACGGGGGCGGGCGGGGGGCGGCAAGCAGGCCCGGGCTTCCCTTTGGGGTGACAAGGAGGAGGCCGGGCAGACAGCGGGGCTGGCAGCATGCCCGAAGCCGCCGCCTGTCTGCTCGGAAACGGGAGGCTTACGCGTCTCCTCAGTATTGTTACCCAAAAGGCAGGTGATGCGCGGCACAGCGGCCGGCCGCAGAGAAGCCTGCCCGCAGGCGAGGCCGGGCGGCCACGGGGCGGCCCCCGCGGGGCTCTGCCGGGAAGCACCTGCCCGTCTTTTCAACTCTGGGGATGACATTACCGCGAGTGTAGGCAAAAGTGTGGAGCATTCCCAGGCCCAAAAAGGAACCCCCCAAGTCCCCGAGAGGGGTGTACTTCCGAGAGCGGGGCGCTGCACTCTCTGCAGGCTAGGCCAAGAACAGGTCTCCTGCGAGGCCCTCCCACAAGAAAATCAGCCCCTCGCGTCACAAAGGAATCAGGCGTGCAGGGCCCGCCCTGGTGCCCCACAGGGGAGGACGCAGCACCCCAGGCCGCAGCCCCGCCTCAGTGCCAGTTCCGTCCCCGCCCAGCAGGGGGTCCCAGGGGGGCGGGCCTCTCCTGGCTCCCCGCTGCTCCCCTGGGCCGTGGACTTTGTGATCCGCCTGTTCTGCTCCCCGCTCTGTCTCTGATGAAGCCTCTCACCGCCCTGCACCCATGTTCTGGATGCATAAATAAATAAATCTTTATAAAAAGTTTATGCACGCAAGAGCTGGGGCGCAGGCCAGGTCGGGGGTGAGACAGGGTGGGGAGCAGAGCAGGCACATCCCCTGAAATGCCGCTGAGGGGAGCAGTGGGGGACAGGCCAGGTCTGCTGCGCCCTGGGGTCACTCCCTGGCCAGGGATCGAACTGCTGCCATGGCTGCGATAGCTGGACAGTGCTGAGACTCACCCCTGCGCCCCCAGGGAGGCCCAAGAGCCTCTTCCTTGGGCACGTGAAAGCCACCTGGGGATGCAGTCTGGTCACTGAGCACCCACCCATAGCCCGTGAATTTCTTTTTCTCAGAAGAGCAGTGGGGCCAGCTCCAGGGTCCCGGAGGGGCATGGTCCCTGGGGCCCCAGCTGCGTCCAGGCAGCCTGGGTGGCTCAAGCCCCACTGGGCAGGGAGGGAAGCTGGAGGTGCTGGGTGCTGACAGGCGCGGGGCCAGTGTCTGCAAGGCCAGGCCGGATCATAGCTTTGAAATGTAACCAACTGAGCCCAGAGTTAAAATGGTAACAACCGCCCTCCCAGCTCACTGTCCTGGAACGCTCCAAGCAGCTCAGTCACGCCAGGCTGTGGCCGGCCTCCCCGGCCTCCTGGGCCTTTCCAGAAGGTGTCACAGCTCCCCAGCTGCCTGCAGCGGGTCCGTGTGTGTCTGCACCAGGGCAGGGCAGGTGCTCCGGCGCTCCTCCCCGCCCCCCACGCGGCCTCGGCCCAGGGTGCCGGCCCAGCGCCCCCACTTTGATGCTCCGGGTCCCCTCTCAGCTCATGGTCTTGCCCAAAGTCACTTGGGGAACCCCCAAGCGACCCCCCCCCGCCGCTGCTGCCCCCACTCCTGGCCCAGGCCAGCCCTCTCCCCAGTCCCTAAGGGTGAGCTGGGGCGCTTCCCTGCGACCCCCACAGACAGGCCAGGGGCGCCCTCGGGCCCCCTCTGGTTACCCTGTTTCTCTGCTCTCCTTGAGCAGAACCAGAGGGCATTTCGAACCGCCCCTCCAGCTCCCGCTGCCCTCCCTGAAGCCCCACTGGCCGGCTGGCCGCCTCTGGGGGCCGGCCCAGCGCCTGCCCCGCGGGCCCAGCTCTGCGGCCTGACGCTTTCGTCCTGCAGGCCCCTCTCCCTCAGGCCCTCCCTGGGCCTGCCGCCCCAGACCCTAAACCCATAGTGTGTGCGGCCCTGGCTGGCCTCACCTGCTCGGGACCTCGAGGCCCTACAGAAGAGCCCAAGTCCACTCAGCAGGCCTGGACCTTGTCCTTGGACTTCAACATGCGCCCAGCCTGGCCCGGGTGCCCCGCCCCTTTGACGGACTCCCTTGGGGTGGGGCTGCGGGCTGGAGGCCTGGGCCGTAACCGTGCAGGACAGCGGTGCAGAGCGGAGCCGGGACAGAGGTCCGGGTCTGCCGGGCACCACGGGCCAGTGAGTGAGGACAGGTGGGACGGCAGAGCCAGCCAGAGCGGTGGGGCACGGCCAGGGGCTTCCCCGAACCTGGGGCCGGCTGTTCCCAGCCACGAAGCTGGAAGTCCCTGGCTCACGGGACGCTGCGCCCCAAGAGGCGGAAGGGACTGGGCCCCGAGTGGGGGTGAATGGCCCTGCACTGAGCACCGCTGGTCGAATGCAGCAACCTCGAAATTTAGCAAGACCCAAGAGAGCGAGACCGCCCAGCCTGCGGCGCCCCGGGGCGCCTCCGGGGTCCGCGCGAGCTCAGGTAGCGGGCCGCCGGGGAGCGTGGCCC